AAATTGTACTTGAAACGTGTCAGTCACTGAAAATAAAAGTCAATGTAAAATGTGTGCAGTTTTTAATCCTTGAAAACAATTTAAGGGAAATTTTATTAAGTTTTTATTTCATTAAATTTTATCTTTACTAAAAAATTTAGCAAAAAAAAAATTTAGTCGCTTCCTAGGTAGTTATTCTACCTAGGAAGTTCCTAGGTAAAGAATTCCGAGAGTAAAGAATCACCGCAAAATAGAATCTCACTCAGAAATATTAAGTTTAATTTTCGCTACAGATTTCTGAAGGGCATAAATTAAGATATTCTGAAAATTAAGAAAAAACGAAGAAAAACGTTAAAATATTGTCTTAGGAAGTTAGTCACTGTACGTTCACTAAGCAATTACAAAATTTTCGAGTAAAATGTGTATGAAAAATTAAATAAAATACTTTTAGGTGCTTGCTAAAGACATGTCTAAATCTAAAAGTTTTTTTTTTTCACCAATGGCGGGCTGTCAGCCGACTTCGGCTTAGCCACTACTGAGGCCAGAAGTGATAGTCACTTTATTATGGAGGCACCAAATAGGTGGGCCACCTGCCTCCTATGAAGAGACGGACAGTTACAACCCTGCCTTCTCCGAGATTCGAACCTGGCTCCCCAAACCACTATACCGTCTAGGCGGCCTAAACCTAAAACTAAGTGTAAGCAATCCAATTTAAAGCGACCACTCAAAATTCCATATCTTTTTAATCTTGTGTGGATGTGGTGAACTTGCGTAATGATTAAAACCTATGTTTATTGATTTCAAAAACACTGTTCGTCTTAGTCAGTAAGAAGGTTCACTACAAGAATACATTATTTCTAAAACCCAAAGAAGCAAAACAAAACAGAACAAACCTGCGTGAAGATTTTCGTGATTTTCCTAAAGTATAATGTGCATATGAACCAGTTTCTGAGAATGTACCTCGCGTGCGTCGGAGAGCTGCGCATTTCACATCATTCGCATAACTCAGTGACGTGCGTCTACTCTAAAATTTGCATAAATTTCTGACCACTCCTTCTTGGTGTTGCATTTTCAATGTCGAGCAGTGTAGTATAATACACCATAAGTTTGGCATATTGTTGCTGTTTTAGGTTATGTGCTATTAATATGCACTACGCACTTACAAGAAATAACTATCTTGAAATTTAAAGTTTGAAAGTTATGGCAATTGTTTTAATTAATAGTGTCAAGCTTATATAATTACAGAACAATTTTCAAATTTTAATTAAAATTAGATTTTTTAATACGTAATGAAAGCAATCTTTCAATGAACACTTTTATAAACAAAATGGTATAAATCAAAAACTATTTACCATTAGTTTAAATGGAAAAAGGTTCTCGGATTAGGGAAGAAAACCTTTCAAATTATATTTAAACAAATTATAATTACTAAAATATAAAATGATGTAATAAATATATAGTCTAATTAATAATATATGCTATTAATTAGAATTTAAAAGGCCAGCAAGTGCATTATAATTACAGGTGGTTGAGTAATGATTATGTTTGATATCCTGAGTTGTCAAAGATCTGATAGTAAGAGATGCAATTTTTTTATGCAGAAAGAAGAACGAGGACCATTTAGTAGTATCTTAACCATTGCTTGAATGTGTACTGTTCCTATGATTTCTATGCCATATTGCTCACAGCACTGGCAATTCAGGTTTATATCGTGTTATGGTTAGCATAAATATTAAAATTAAATATTCAAATAAACAAAAAATTTGTTTTCATACATGATCAAAGCATTTTGAAAAAAAACTGTTAGATCAGTATACTTTCTTAAATTTTTGCAGTCATTACATTAAATAAAAATATTAAATAATAATTTTACTTTTCCATTCTAGAAAAATTAAAATCCATGCTTTTTTTAATAACCCTTACTTTTTTATAACCCTATCTGAGAGTAAATTTTTTAAGACCTTTGTAAAAGAGAAGTGGAAGAATGATAAAGGAATAAGGAATTAGTATTATAGTCATATAATTCGAGAATAAAATTTCCAAATATTAAAAATATTTATTAATCCTTTATTTTTAATATTTAGGGTGAGCGGGCTTTCTACGAAAAATAAGCACTTGCCATTGTTCAGATATAATTCCATTTTTCTTTCAAATTATTGAAGTCACATAAGAGATTTTAAAGAATGAACAAAAAAAAAAAAAATGAGTACCACATGTATTTTTGTTTTGATGCACTGTATTCATATGTTAAATCAGTTTTATTTTGAAAAGTTTAGAATGAGAATTAAAGGTGTTCAGGTTGGTGGTAGTTAAATTTCTCTTCACTTTGTGGCATTTGTGTATATAGCAGAGCTTAAATTGCGCCGGAAGTCCGGCTCTGATACTTCCTCAGTTTTCGAGATAAGTTATAATTTCAGCTGGAAGCCCTAAATGAAAGGAGCTCAGGCACTTTTTTATGCAAGTGTAGCCACAATTTTAACACAGAAATTTTGTTTTAATAGTAAACATATCTTAAAAATCCGATTCTAACTGCTGAATGCAAGCCTGTCTTTCCATTGCACTCAAGCCTTGCACAGAGGTTGAGACTTTTGAGGAAAGAAAAGCACCCAATTATATGTCAAAGGCTTATTCTCCAGGATATGCAATGAATTTATGAGAGCGGGTAAGTTTTGTATTCCTCAAAGAACTAAAAGTGACACCCTGGTCATGCACGTTCCATGCTAGTGACTTCTTTTTGCAGAGCTGTAGACTTTCTGAATGATGTAACCAAGCGAGGGCTGCCACTTGTACTGTAAGTCTTATATTTATTCTCATGTTGTATTCAGGAAAAGTAATCAGGGAAATTTTCTGCTTCACAGCTAGAATTATATCGACAGGGCATCGCGATAGGTAGTCTTGAACTCTTCCCTCTTTATCTTCAAAGCAACACTTTTCAGTTAATTTTTTTTTCATACCCTCATACTGTTTCTAGAATTCTCACTATTCTCCTTAGTGGAGCTAATCAGGGCTTAAACTCAGACGGAGATTGGCTGAGCTGCTTCTTAGCATCTAAGTGGAATTGTAATTCCGGACGATGCCTCAAATAAGACGAGGTCCAATACTTTTTTTTTTCTATTTAACTATTCAAATTAATTTAATTATTAAATTCTCTTTATTTACATTTCTTAATTAATTAATAAATTAGTTAATTTAATCAAATTAATTAATATTAATTTATATGTATTATTTAATTATTAGCTATTTAATTAGTTATTTATATCTTTTCTTTCCTTCCTCACAGTCTTCCATAGGGCTCCGGCACTTCTAATTTTAGAAATTAAGCCCTGGTATATAGCATGGAACAATAAGTCCTCAAGAGTTAATGGGAACGGAAGAGGGGTAGATGATCTTTGGATCTATCTCCTGGTCATTGTTTCAAAATGAGATAGAGCTGGGCAAATTCATATCATCACCTATAATGTGTCCAAGGTTTAAACTAATGACAGACATAACCAAGTGCACTCTTGGTCAATGATTTCGTAGACGTTTTTGATGTTACTATCATAGGAGTCTGTGATTCTGTTTAGAATTTAACTAAATGAAAAGTTACTATGTGTTATTAATTGCTTAAACATTCAATTGACTTATTATTAAATGATTAATTAAATGATTTTTCCTTCTATCGTGTGTGAATAATTTTACATTTTGATTTCATTTCAATATACATATAGAAACTATAAATTTATTCATTATTCCATAATGTAATGGATGAATTAATATGCTTAACAATTGCAATTTAATGAGCTTTCAGCTGTTGCAAAAAATGCCTTCAAATCTTCTTAACTAGGGCAATTAAAATAATGCCGATATCTTAAGTAAAATTCATTGTACGAAATATGAGGAACTGAATATCACGAAAAGTAATAAAACATGTCGCCCATTAGGTAGAACAATTCTATATTCAGATACATGTTTATGAGACTGCCTTTATCGTCACCATTTTGACGGTATTTACTAACGGTGAACTCTGTGGATGTATAGCAGAATAAAAATATTATATTCTTAATTGTTATTTTACAGGCACGAAAGTAGTTGATGAACACATCTTTCACCGAATCAATTGGGCGTAAACAATTCCACGCTTCAGCAACATCACATCGATGTGTATGTCGAAATGAAACTTTAATCAAAGTGCACAGATTCTTTTTTCCATACTCGTCACGACATCTTGTATACTTATTATTATTTTTTTTTTTAATTCTGACATGTAAAGTAGCTAAACATTCTTTATTTCTGAAACTAGCTTCTTTCTTATTTAGTCTTGCATGTTGACACACATAATCTTTCTTAAAAATAAACTTTGCTCTTTCCGATTTGCATTGTTTTGTTTTGGAAGATACAATCCAAATGCACGTAGGAAACAGCTTCAAAATGTATTTTCCAATTCTTCCATCTATCTTCACTATTAAGATCCCATCTGATCTCAAAGTCGAAATCCTCTTTTCCTCCGAACTTGGAAGACACTACTTCGTAGGAATATCCATCAAATAAAATTTTATAAAATTCATTTTCCACTTCGTTTGACATACTCGCAGCCATTACAAACTTGAAACATAAACCGACAGCGTTATTTCCATTTGCACATGCGCTTGGTGTCACAATTTCGCCAAGACCTGACAAATCGCCAAATTTAGTAGCGAGTTGCGTTTCCTAGGGAGGAAGTAAAAATACGCGTCCATCATTAGGCAAAGGTCTATCCCAGAGAGCTTTATTATTAATAAACTATATATGTAGTAACCACTGTAAACGAGACAAATTTAAAGATATTATAGAAATATTTGAAGAGTTAACTATTAGTCATTAATATTACCTAATTCTTTATCAGAAGTCGAGTAAAAAGATGTTTCTACATCTTGACACTCGAGAATAAAATACGATCTGTGCCATTACCTAATTGACAAGTGGCCTTGCATAAGCACAATGTTGTTGAATTTTCATTCATCGGGGGAGAAGACTTGGCTTTAAAGTGCATAACCGAATATTGTGTAAACATTTTGCTAAGAACTCGAGAAAAAGGTAAGAGTGTGCGTTTTACAGTTAACAAGGAGAAATAATAGTGTTCTTTTCTCTTATAAAACAGAAGGTAAAATGATTGACGAAGCGAAAAAAACAGGTGGAGATGCGCCTGTTGAAGTGGAAAGTCAGTTTATTTTAAGATTACCTCCTACACCAGCTGCTGCTTTGAGAGCCGCAGTAAGGTCTGGTGTTATGAATTTGGAAGACAGACTTTCTATTCAGTTGGAAGCAGATATGAGACATGCTACAGTACAGTTTGATAAATGGACATTACCTGCAAAATTGTACGATTTACCTACAATTATAGAATCTTGCAAAACATTGGATCGTAAAATATTTTATAAAACAGCAGACATATGCCAAATAATGATCGCCCATGAAGGAGATGCGGCGAAAAGTGATGAAGAAATTTCTCCGAAGAAAAAAGACAAAGATGCGAAGGATAAAAGATATATCTTGCCCTATGGCCTTACTCCTCCATTAAAGAATGTAAGGAAGAGAAGATTTCGGAAAACGTTAAAAAAGAAATATGTTGATTTACCAGACGTTGAAAAAGAAGTTAAAAGACTTTTGAGAACAGACACTGAAGCTATAAGTGTAAAGTATGAAGTTGTGAATGCTGAAGATGAAAAATCCGATATCAAAAATAATGACAGAGACTTTAGTGTTGAGGGTCCATTATCCTTAGAAGAGAGAGAACTTAGTAATTCACAGACTGCAGATGTTGCAGAGTATGATATTTTTGGTGAAGTTCTAAGCAGTTCAGAAGAGAGTGCTGAGGAAGATGATGTAAATGTTGTTGATGTTGCAGAGAAGCAGGCAAATAGAAAATTAGAAAGTATCACTGAAGAACAGGAAAAGACAGAAAATGATGAAGAAAGTAAAGGTGATAAAGAAATTATGGATCTTTCAAAGAGTATGCAGCTGAGTCCAGACACTGCAGAACAGTTCCAAGATCAGGAATACGGAAATGAAAACGACAGCATTGCCGTTTCACAGTTAGAATCAGCTACAGCAGGTGAAAATCTTGGTCAGTTATTGAAAGAACAAAAAACAGAAGAAGAGAGAATGGCACTTATGGAGAAGCTTGATGAACTTGAGCATACTATTTCAAATCTGCAAGCAAAGCGGAGATCGCAAGAACTAGAAATAATGAGCATAGAAAATCAAGCTCTCAAACAAAGGTTTCAAGCTAATATTGATCGTTTAAAACAAGATGAATATGAAAAGCAGATGGAATATAATGAGATAATGAGTATTCTTCATGATAATTAAAAAGTGTATATTTAATTAGCTGTTCTTTATGTATAGGAAAGAAGTATGAATTATACTAAGTATATTATTAGCTTGAGCAAAATTATATTTGTTTTAAAATATTATTATATTGATATTTAATCCTCGAATTTATGCAGCAGCTATGATAGGAGAAATCTCGGTGGCCATTATTAGTAATTTGTATTTATAACCGGTGTTAAAATCTTTGTTAATAAGGAAAGATGAATTCTGAATATGTATGCAAAACATTGTAATTAATACAAAGTCTGAGATCGAGGACTTTGGTGATTCTTTATTTTAGACCATAAATTTAAACTTATAAGATTAGATGTAGAAATTATAAAATTAAAAATATGAAAGTTTATTTCTGAAGTAATGGAGCACTTATGAATTTAAAAAACTTAATGTTTGTTTTGTTTAACCCTCTGAGTGGCACAGGATTTTAGATCCGTCATGAAGACCAGTATTTAAACAGCATTTATTAATTTAGTTTGTATAATTACTTTAACAATGTAAGTTTATGGAAATGCACTTTATGGTCTGCATTTCCATAAACTTACATTCATTAAGATGATATTTAAGCTAATCTTTGGAATATGGTAACAGGTAGTTTGGTGACATTTTGGTAAGGCGATAAAGGTTACTAGCTAGGACTTTAGCAGTGTACATGGATAAAGTCAGAGTGTGCGCAATGCCATTTTTGTGCAATTCTGGGATTTTCTTTAAGTGAAAATAAGTCGATGTGTACATGGATACCGTGTATGTGCAATTTTTAAAAACGCGGCAAGTAGTTTGTGATTCTGCACTTTCTCCCAATTTCGCACCTAATCTTCATCATGATTAAGCACTTTTGTTCCATAAAAGTTCTAGCATAAGTGTAATTCGGCTAGCAAATTTTTGCCAAATTACCATAATCCAAAGATTAACCAATACTTACATTATTAAAGAAAGTAAGAAAGCAAAATATCTTAAATTATGAGTTAATATATACCAAGTAGCAAAACTTCTGATGACCGGATAAACCCGTTCATAATGCTCAGAGGGTTAATTAAACATTTTTTAATGTAAAGTGTGAAGCTATGTTGTTTTATGTGTAAATACTTTCTCTTTAATGTAATACTTCTGTGCCTGTGCAAGCATTTTAAAAAGTCCTTGCAAACCTGGCCTTTTATGATATTACAATGCTCTACGCAGTAGGTACTGAAATGTTGCAAACATTCTAGGACAGTCTTACTGCTACATCAATTTTCTAGAGGTTACTTAACCTTTTGAGGCCGGGGCTTTGGTAGCAGTAAAAGCTACCAAAAAAACGGGGAATCTTGAACCGAATGCTTTCCCCCCTTTAAGAAATCACCTCCTATTTGCAACAAATAATTCTTGTGTGTAGTTTAATGGATTCTCAGAGGGGTGCATCTATGTCGCAAAAGGAAGACCTTTGAAAGAGATAAGTGGTTAAAACCCCAGGGACGTCAAATTTGACATTTCACCCCACTTTTCAGCCTGGAAAATGGGGGAAAAAGACATGGCCACTAAAGTGGACAACCCCGTCTTTTCAAAGAGAGGACTCTATGCCACTATAATGGCCATCCCGTCTTCAAAAGGTTAACATCTGCATTTCAGTGCATCCAATTCTGATTGTCACTAGCTGATTGTTGGATATAGAGTTTCGAGTGCAGAGAAAAATGAAAATGTTTTTTATTAAAACTTTTAATTTTTATAGGATAAAAGGAATAATAATAGACCTAGTAAAATAATAAACTATAACAAATCAGAAATTTAAAGAAAAGTGCACTTACTAGTGCTTGCTGAGCTTAAGTTAATCGGAACCAAATTATTTCTCTCTTTCTTCCCTGCAATGCCAACAAAAGGTAATCAATATGTGCAATATTCCAAATCAAGCAGACAATCTTTGGGGTTACCTTATTGTAGGCAGAGCTAGGGAAGATGGATTATATTGTCTTTCTGACAACATTTGAGAGTTGAAAATGTGATCCCTTAACTAGTAGGTGTTCAAAGTTGCAATGATATGTAGAATGATTCAGTATTGTCACGAGTAATGAAATTTTGAGGGAAAGAGAAAAAAGAACTTCTAATGAGAACAAAAATTGATTTATGGCACACTTGCATTGTCTTGAGTATTATGTTATCTCTTCATATACACTGTGAGAAAACAAACAACCAAATGTGGGAGGTCTGGGTAGTATATTATTCAGGTATTAGACATCTGTATTTTGGACTTTCTAAATGTACTGTGAATTCTGCATTTTTCAGGAAATGAGTGAACAATTTTAAGATTTTTGGTATTTTTCCATTTTGTCGGCGCAAATCTCGCCAAGCAGACTTTATTTGCAACAACACACAGTATACACATAAAAAAAATGTTAGCAAATGCTAGTTCTAAGAAATTTTTATTTTGAAGGCATAAACATTTTACTATCATTTAAAATTTTGTAAAAAGCCATTAAATAAAGACAATAAATTTGTAAAGAGACATTAATTTAAGAATTTAGTATGCTTTCATGGTACAACATACTGATTCGCAGTTTCATATCACGTGACCCCAAGTGATCTCATTTCATGTAAACTACGCTACAAAAATCTAATTGTCTCAGTAATTATCTACAATAATTTGAAGTTAAATCTTAATTTGAAATACAAGTTTAAATGCAAGAATTATTTCAATTCGTATGAATAGCTTACTCAGAAATTATGTAAGACTGCAGTGCTTTACTTCATTAGTGCATTCTCATTAGAATTGATGAATTTAACCCTTGACTTTATTATTATTTTTTTCTTATATTTTTGCCTTTCCTATATTTTAGCCTTCGAATGAGCGGTGTGATTGCATCCATTGACTTAATTACCACGAATGGCCTTTGGGCATAAATTTGAACTATCTGGTAAAAACTCTATGTAATTGTATGCCAGTATTAAGGGAAACAATCAATCTGATAAGAAATGGCTGTGACTTGTTTTGAAAATAAGGCATAAAAAGTTACCAAAGAGAATATTCCGTTTGGCATCGGTTGCACCATTTTTGGCGACTTATGGCTTGCGCAGGCAAAATGGAAAAGTACCAAATTTATTTTTCTGTTAAATTTTTCAAAACATTTAGGTGGCTGTGAGCCCTTTGTTAAATCTGTGTCTAATTTTTGAGCCATTTGGTTTTTTTATTTCATTGTTTATTTACTCATAAAAATGTATGTATTGTTCATTATGCACTTCCCATGCATTTTTGTGTTTTTATTTAATTGTAAACACTTTTTAGTTATAAAAATAGTTTAACGATGGCAGACAAACATTCTAGCAGCTGATGCCAAATAGATCATTCATTACCACATGTCAAAAGATTTGGCAGGTGCATAGCAGAAAAGTACTAAAACATATCTTGTGTGTCATAATTGTACTTTAAGTTTAATTTTTCTCTTCCTGAGAATTAGAGTGTCATTTGGTTTTGCATAAGTTCTGTCACATGGGTTCAGATTAAGACTTTTATGGGTTTCAAGCATTAAAATATTTTGATGTCCTTACATACGGTTACAGCATAATGCCTGTTTCTTTTTCCTACTGATTTTGTCTTGGTCTTGTTGTAGCTACACCATACATTGCAAGGTGAAACCAGTAATGGGGAATTTTTGTGATGCTCACTTTCTTAAATCCTTAAGCATCTTTTTTATGATGCTCTAAACATATGTTTACTTAATGGTTAATCTAGTTCTAAACACATTGTAGGTACCTAAATTTTAAACAGTGAACTGAAGGATGTTCTTCTGTTTTAAGCAAATTTACTATTGAGCATGGAAATTGTTTAACATCATTATTCTGAGATTAACTGCTGGGTTTAATTCTAGCATACGATTCACACGAGATTTGTCAACATTATGATGAGCAGTATAGGAGTGATTTTTGGTGTTGGCAACAATTTTCAAAATCCCACCAAGGCCATACTGTATACTAAGATTGTATCAAGTCCTTTTGTTTAGTTTCCATTGAAAGGTGTCAATAAGTAAATTAAAGTATTGCTAAATTATTTTAGAATTTAAATTGCAATCATTGAACCAAATCTGCAGAAACCATTCATAGAAGGAGTTGATGTAAAAGAAGAAAATAATATGTAGCAGCTTTTGCCATAAATTATTCTTTAATTTTTTTTTTTTTTTTTTTTTTTTTTTTTTTTTGTTGTTGTTGTTCAGGCAAAATTATTCGCATTTTCTATTTGTATAAAAAGTGAAATATTTATGCTTATTTTGTTTACAAGTCCTTAGTTAAAAATTTCATTACTATAGGTTACTAGATATATATATATTAATTTAACATTCAGATTATGTTTTACATAAATTAAAATAATTCTGACTGTGCATATAAGGAAATTCATTTGCAGGAGTATTCCAGTTAGATCTAGTAATATTTGTAATATTTTATATTGCCTTCCTCTAAAGTATTTTATCAGAAGTGATTTTTTGAGGATTGAGGATTTTATTAAAACCTTAAATTGTTTCTGTTAGATTTCAAGTCTAATATAAATATATAGTAAAACTTCTTACTTTGATTAAGAATAAAATTTAATGTTGATAATTGCATTGTGTTAATTTTATTTCTTATATAACCATAACAAGTTAGCTAAATTCTTAAGAAAATAAAAAAATTTTAACAGCTAGCTGATAGATAGGATACATTTTATATTAAACAATGACTTCATGAAAAATATCAAATGTTCTGGCAATATTTTCCATTTCACTAGTACATAAATAGATATGCCTATTTTCCCATTTTAGGCAGGAAATTCCCATCACTCCTATTCATCCCTCACGAAATGGTTCATTACGAAATGAATGCACAAATCCGATGAAAAATGAACAAAAATTTATTATTATCACACCAAATATGCTTATTTCCTAAAATATTCGTGCAGTATTACAATATCTCACAGTAGTTATCTTTTAACTACTCAAACGTTCAAGAGAACTTAATTCAAAACAGCTAAAGAAAGCTAATCTGCGAATTTGCTACAGTCAACAAGAACACTTTTCTAAACAACAACAAACTAAGTAACTACTACGAACTGAGAGGTTTTCCTCCTTTTATGAGATTTTAAAATCGCGCGCGAGAATTTTCTAGTACTTTCTCGAAATCAAAAAGTTATATTTATTAAATGTTAAATGCATGCGCTCTTGTATTTTCAATTTTTTGGCTTAGCTTGATAATTACAAAAAAATTATTTCTCATATGTATACATACATATTTTGATATTTCAATTAGGTGTTTATCCAAAAAAGGAG